TTAAATGTACTGCAAGAATAAATTTTTAATGAACGCCTAGTGATGTGAATCATTAATAACCAAGCTAATTTCGACATTTTGAAACCCAGAATTGAAATAAACAAAACTTTTAAGTCTCAGAAAAATTAACTCTACAATTTACATTTCAGTATCTCTCCTTGACATCTATTGTGTAGCGCCCAAATGCAAATTTCAATCCAAAAAGCCTTTTGTTCGAGCATTAAGGCAATTGCTACCCGAAGCTACTCAAATATCAGCAAAAATCTAGTCCCTTAGCTTGACCGATGAAAACTTATTTTTCAGCCATATTACAGGGGTATTTAATCATGTTTTAGCCTGGCTATAAATTTTAGTTGAAATGCTGGAGCCCGTGGCTTCGGTGGTTTGACTTGTAATAGAGTACTTCTTATTAGATATCAGATATACTAAGAAATTTTAAGATTGCAGTTCTTGTACAAGAAACGATTACTCAGTTGAACGCTCACACGGATCTACTGTTTCGCAGCATTCGGTCTTTTCGTAATTTGCTCAGTGGCCCAGCTTTTAATTGTTTATACTACATACTTTTTTCTTCTGCTGAATATCTATCTACCAGGTATGGGCTGGTGAACCCTTTTGAAACATTACAAAGTGGCCACAAGAGAACTTTGTATAGAGATTCTCGCAAGTATTTCTTTCATGAAAATTTTATACTGCGATTTAATCTGCCTTTAATTCTAGATTTCTCTTGAAACTTATTATTGTGGCTGCATACTTTGCAGCCTCTCGTAAGCTTACAACGTTTAATCTCAACTTCCCCCTCAACTTTCTTGCGCACAGCTTTTTCTATTGAATGCTATATATTTTAACCCATTCAGTTGATCTCTGCCAATCAGCGTATTGAGTACTTATGTATAATGTTAGGACAAATAAGCACTATCAAGCACTATTTCTATCAGAGTTGCCTAGGTCATTCTGATTTATACTCTCTTACCTTTCATCACCCAGGGCGCTTATAAAGCCCTCCTCTGTGGAAGTGCAGTCTCTGTACCGGCGTTTGGTTAGTGTTGAAAATACGGTTAACCAAGACGAACCTTTGCGACAAATTATTATCGATTCATCGCAGTTACTCATGTTTTACTCAGGAAAGTCGGCAAATTGCGTGTAATTACGGAATGGAGAAGACCGATTAATTGTTTTCTTTGCGTTAAATCGTAATCCAAAGTTAAGAAATGAGAAGAGGAATTTAGGCTGAATCAATTTAAAGCCTCTCAAAACCAAGTCAAAATATAAATTGAATTTTTTTTGTGACTTTGTATGGCTACTCAATGAATAAGTTTCTAAAACTTGCTGAATCTATACCATTCCCTCGTTCTCCCAATGAAGACAATTGACTTTCAACAAATCTTCCTTTGTTTACCCTTTGTAAGAGCTGCCTCGATAAATGAGGATTAAAGATTAATGAAAGTGATCGAACAATAATAATAATAATAAATCGAACGATAACTTATATTTCACGATGATCAGCCGCCTGAGGGTCCTCTAAATACAGAAATGCCAGTGACATATAACGAGGAAATTACATTGGAATAAAACGGAAAATGACACAAATGTCAATGAACCAGCTTATCGAGATGTTATCAAATGGGGAAATAGGGTAGAAAAAGAAATGTTGAAAATTGAGTGTTGTCGGAGGTTAACGACTCATTTCATTTGGTCAGAGATTCGAGAATTCCCAGCTGTTGCAAATGATGTAATGTTAGGTGAAGCCATTCACCGAATAGATTGCCTCCCGTTATCTGTCGGGAGATTAGGACAACGAAAACCTAGATTTAGATCAAGAATGTTCGTCTTGGTTTACACGTACATAGAGGTAGCAGAAACTGAGACTAACTTTTCCTTATCCACCTCAAAAAGCGATATTGTACTTATAACCAATATCATAATCATTAGTCTGCAAAAGACGTTTAGCTAGATTGAGGTCTTCCAGCGAAGGGATCAGGGTTTATCGTAGTGTTGAAAATATAACGTATACATATTCAAGTTACTGAGATAAAAGTATGGCGTATATTACGTATATCATTCATATTTGCATAATACAAGCTCACATTCTAGGGGATGAAAACTTTTTTTTGATGTTCATATAAGCTCACATCTTATAGAATGGACACTATTTTTGCTATTTTTATGTTCATATTCTTCTTCTAAGAAAGTGTAAACACGTATGTTTTACTTAGAACGGACGATTCTTTTCGCTCGGAAATATGTGCTCCTACCGTATGGAGTGCTGAAGGGACTTGGGCGAGCAATACAGCAAGCTTGGACTTGTCTCTTTGTCTAAGAGGAATTGAACACTTTTGAAAATAATTTAGTTTTAACCATAGAGAGACTCTGAAGCCGACATTTCAAGCGTTAGCCCGTCTCATAATCTCTTGCTCTTCGTCAGAGCGGATCCATTCGCTTTAACGAAGAGATTTGACGAAGAATTCAGTCCAACAAAGGGCTAAAACTCGAAACACCAACTTTAGAATCTCTTTCAGCTCAGTTGATGAAACCAAATTACCTTGTAATACCCCCATCGACGCAGGACCAAAGTTTCTTTTGAAACTTGCCCCCTTAATTTATGATTTCAGCAACTTTCAAAAAAAATTAATAAAACAACAATTGGATTCGGTTTTTGTGATATCCAGAACAATCAAGGTCTCGGCGAGGGTTATCAGCCTCAGCCTTCTTTTCGGCTGATAATCTCTACCTAGGCCTTGGTTATTCTGGATAACACAAAACCGAATCTGATAATTGTTTTATTATACATGGAACGAAAAAAAATTATCACGACAGTAAGTGGGACAGATAATTTATTTCTAAACGTGTAAAAATATACAAATCAGCGGCACATAATTCGATTGACAAAAAGTCTACGCATTAGAAAATATGTGGAAAATTTAGTAAAAGCTAGTTGAGAAAGTAAATAGCAATAAGTAAGTTTAACTGAAGAAAATATCGAAGCAAACCTGGATGTCATGTTTTTTCTTCCGCACTAAAGGCAAGCAACACAAAGCGCGCGAGCTTCACATGATTACCCTTAGAAATCATGCACCGCAACCGTTATACATGACACGATTACTCGTTTCCTTGAGTGATCTCGACATGATTATTGTATAATCTGCAGCTAGATGATGTCGCAAGCGCTGATTTCGAAATTTCACTGTGCGCTTTCGGTCAATCAGGAGAGAGATAGTGAGTTGAATGTCTAATAAAAATGCTTAATTGCCATGATTGAACATCATCTCGTTCAAAGAGGGTCAGGCAATCGAAAATTAACCAAGAATGTCATCTCTAACACATGCTAACACCAGACCAACTTTGGAAGCTTCTGACGGAAAGCTGAGCGAGAAAAATAGACAAAAAAAATAACGGTGAAAAGTATTATGAGTTTACAGTAAACACGATTTTCTTGGAAAATGTGCTGCTTCTAAGATTCCAAGAATTGCAAAACATTTTAGGAGATGCAAATTGTATATTTTGAATTGTTATTTTATCATCCAGTTGTCTTTTGGCTTTGATATAATTAATAATCGTAAAAAAACTTCAAATGAAAACAATAATGTAAAGAGTTTACTTAAAAAGTGCTAAACCATCCCTTCGGTTCAGGTCATTAGGCACAGTTAAATAACTTCGCGACAATAATTCGTTTTACCCGGAACATTCCTAAAATGCACAGAAACAATGCTTTGGCTCAATAACTCTATGTTTGGGAAAATCCAATTCTTCCCCCATCGACTATTTTTGTCGATTGCTCTCAACGTTATTGATACGGGCTGGAGATTGCATTTCAGATTACATTGCTGAAGAAAAATAATCATGTGGTGGCTCGCGACTAGTGATTTCCAAGAAGGACCGGAAGACATCTACAACAAAGAATACGCATGTAACACAGTGAAATACAAGCAACGTTGCCACCAAAATATTTTACGTTGTTATTTGCTTTTTTGAAATTTACAGCTTTACCATAGCTAAATCATCGCGATATTTGGGAAGAAAATTAGAACTTTAACTATCAGTATAAGAAATGTTCCATCAGAAGCTTAGTAAATCAGTCTCTTTCTTTTTCTCAGAGACACAGATGAAACTTGAATTTACGTACTTTCAGGTTATCGGTTTTCTGAGCTGTTTCTTTAGTGAGTTTATTTCGCTATTTAATCGGAAGAATCGAGAGATATTAAGTTTCTATTCTGAACTCAGAACCTTCCTATCAAAACCACAAAGCCAAAAAGGAATGAAAAAGTCGCTCGTTTAACATGGAAAAGCCGTGAGCTTGGCAACAAGATCAATTATGATAAATGAATATGAAAGCAATTTTCGCAGTAATAAACACTACTTCAGCAAATAAGGCCCGAAAAGAATTCAGGCCTATGCGGGATTGAACGCATGACCTCTGCGAGAACATGTTCCTTTAACTCAAAGGTGGATGTATAAATCTTTCTTTCCTTGGGGTGCATGAATTAGTGTTTGTTTTCCGTTATTCAATTTGTCATTTGGGTGAAAGGGAACAAGTACTATTACCAGCTGTTGGCAATTATTTAATATTCTTCAGTTATGTGATACAAAAAAAAGACCTCGAGCTATTTTGTATTCAAGTCGCGTGACAATCAGGTGACGAACAGCGAAAATACCAGCGAAGCATTTTCGTTTTAGTAAAGGAATTGAAGGTAAGTATTTAGTCCTTTCTTCCTCAGTATATCAAATAGTTCTTCACAGCCAATTCTGTTCGAAAGTGAAGCGGTAAGTAAGGTTGAGAGAACTTTTTGATAATCGTGCTGTAGGTCAGTCATCTGATAGGATTCGATAAAAAGTTTACTTGTCTTCCGCTCATAGCTCACAGTTCTTCAACGTCTCTCGAGGAGAAAAATACCAGCAAAGCATTTTCAGTTTTGTACAGGAATAAAAGCTAGGTATTTACTTTTTTCTTTCTCAGTATATGAAATAGTTCTTCGTTCTATGACTCAGTCTGAACGGCTAACATAAAAATCAAAACTGATTGACAAATTTCAAGACATCATGCCTGTGATCTTGTTTGTCGAACTGAATTCCGTTTACATCACGTTCTCGTTTTCAATTGTAATCATCATCTTAAAGAACATCTTTTGCAAAATCAAATGGCGTTCAGTTAAGAGTTTCCTAAAGGAATTTTATGTCACATTTCGTTACAACTCGGTTTGTGCTGATGAGACAAAATCGTACGAACATTTCTCAAAGTTGATTCGTGTAGATAGAGGCCACATCCTGATTCGCTCTGACGAAGGGCTAACGCTAGAACTAGAAACGATCTGACAAAGGGCGACCGCTAGAAACGTAGGCCTCAGAAAGTCTTTATCACGTTATTTAAAAAAATCAGAGTATCCGAACCGGCAACAATCGACTGACCACAACTTTTCTTTCGACTTTAAAATGACTTCCGCTCAGGTTTTTGAAACATCAGTCGCTATTACCGATAACTGTCCCTCACCCTGACGATCAGACTACACGATCAATTAGGTGTAGTGCCGACCTCTTAAAGTAAACCAGACTTTGGATGATTTTGAATTCTAAGTGCAGTTCACGGCAACGATTGTGCGCGATTGTGATTAGTGCACCGACTTGGAAGTTCCATTTATGGATAAAATTTGAAATACTGAATGCAATCGTCATAAGTCAACACATGTGTATTTGTAGCTTTCGATCATCAAAGACGATCGAAGATTTTAGCCACATCGATTTCCCAAGAAAATGGCCACTCTTTCATATTAGATATTTACGTGACTTTACAGTGCAAAACTTTGAAGTGTGCTTACCTTTTCTGTTGCCTCTCAGTGCATTGTGATTGAGTGGAATGAAATCATCTCATTTTCGTCCCCTTAAGGTTTATTTAAAGCTTAATTTGTTCAGAGGGTGCAATTTTTGAAATAATCACAGTGAGATAAACGAAAAATTCACTTTATTCCGGATTTTCTTGGAAAATGCTCATGTGATGGCTAAAGGATTTCAAGACTTCCTGTTAAATTCAGAGACAGAAACATACAATCTACCCTAGAAATATTGTATTTACTACAAGTAAAATTCGTTTGTTACTCTTTAGCACATATTGGATCAACATCCAGAAAATTTTAGTTTCAAAACACTTTGACTGATTTACAAATGTAAATTGCAACCTTTTAAGTGACAACAAAGATTTTCTTCGGAACGTACTCGACCTTGTCACGGTAGCTAAGCATGCACATTGCGATTTTGTTTTGTTTTTCCGGAAAACTTCTTAGAATGCGTAAAAACAGTTCACAGAATGCTGCTTAAAACTTCAGGGCATCTCCAGAAGTTTCGATAAAAGCCGTCGTTTATAGCGGCCTACACCTGCTATAAAGTCCTATAAGACCGCTTACCGCCGTTTGTTTAGCCTGCAAGCTGAGTGTAGTGTTTGGGTCTCGCCTTATGGCCTTCTTTCTGGGCACAGCCGCCTTTTACACCATCAGCAGTCGCTTATGGGAAAAAAATATTGAGACCCCTGCATTTCTGCGAAGTACCGATCAAAATAGTGCGTCGAAAAGCGTGGAAAATAAGATGGATGCTTCCGTACAAAAGCGTCGGTTAAAGAGAGTTAAACTTGCATTATGGCATGCCGAGAGGGACTCGAGGTTATGGACCTTCACTTGATATAATACGTGTTTACAACTAGAACATACATTTCATTGAATTTTAAAATGGGTTTGCTGATCTCGGGAGGAAAATGAAACAAATTTGAAACATGACTACAGAAAGCTGGAGTTTTGCATCTTTCTATCCTTCATCCCTATATATGTTTGCAGTGAAATAAACCCAATAAAAAAGCTCTGAAAACATCTCATTGGAAGTAAATAAATTTTTTAGCTGCCTTTCTAAGAAAAAATGGAAAGATGATGTACCTCCACTCTTTCTAAGGGATCAGGAGTCAACATTGTGGTTGCCGAAGATGTTACTTAGGTGTAAGGGACTAAAAAAAAGTGTTAATTTCAGGAAAAGAACCCTAGTACCAGCTATTTGGAAGTATTTAAAGTCCATTTTATTATATGATAAAAGTGCTCTTAGCTATCGTTGACCGACTTAAGAGTGGCAAAGTTTTCTGGCGTGGGCTGTTTGGGTCGCGTGACAGGCTCATGACACGATCAGCAAAACAACCGAAGCATTTTCAGTTTCATTTTTAGGCAGACATGAAAGTTAGGCATTCACCCCTAGCTCTCTCATTGTGGTAAATAGTTTTTCACAGTTCATTCTGTGCAATCAAAAAAAGGTAAGTATGGTTGAGAGAACTAGTTAATCATTATTCTGTTGGTCAGTGTTAACCGAGCGACCATTTTGGTTTGCCGCGGCTCATTTATCATTCGCTCATGGTTACCAAAGTTTCTCTTCTTTCAAATAGAATTGAAAAACAAGATTAATTTCCTTAACTAAGCTTATTTTTCTATAGAAGACGAGGGAAAGATCTCTTGATTTCCTTGGTGTAAAGTTTTCGTAAGCTGCCCATTGAGAATTTCGAATTTGTATAGTGAATAAAACATTGAACAAACCGAAACATTTCCGTAATACTTCCTCGCTCGACAAATAGATATACGGGTTAGAACATAAAAAAAAATTAAAGGGCAGTAACAACAACTATTTGAGAGAAATCCTTTCCTTTACGGTCAGGAGACGCTGTGCGGCAAGATCAGAACGGCAAAAATGACAAAATTTCAAGACATTGAATTCCTGTTAGAATCACACACTCGTTTTCAACCGTAAGAATCATCCACGAAAAAATTGCCCTTTAGTTGTTTCTTTCTTCAATGTCGACCTAGATAGGCAAGTTAAACTGATTAGGAGCTGATGAGACAAAATTGCAAAAGCATTTCTCAAAGCCGTAGCATGTGAACATAGGCCAACATTGACATCATGGTCACGTACTTAACAAAACCTTCTTAAAGACACAGCATACAATAAATCGGGATGCTGAGTTTGAAATTAGTGTGACGGAGTACGTTCCAAAATTAAAAACTGTTTCGCATCATTCATGTGATCAGAAGAGATTCTGAACAAGCTATGGTTGTTGTTGTTTCTAGGAAACTATAAGTCTTCAATCTGACCTTTTCGACATCACTCAAAGTTTAATGATTTTACCTTAAATGTAAGCTTTCCTTACCTTCATGGTTAATTTGTGTTATCTTCAACTTGCGATGTTAATTGTAAAGGACAAAAAAAGGAACGGATTTGCTGCGGAAGTTAAAGGAGGTTCTTATGACCTTCGAAACGTATCTCTCTCTATCGGAATAAACACAGAAATTGGCTTAAATAACAATTATTCATTCCGATAAAAATTCCGTCGATCGTTCTACTTACGATCGACTCAAAATAACCGTTCACATCTCACAGTGGGTCTAAAAAGATAAAACATAGAACTAAACTAATATATTTTAAGTGAAAAAATTCTGAATATGTCGCAAATAAATAATTTGAAGAGCAGATTCCAAGAGCAGCTTACTTGGTTTGCACGCCTGCATGTTTTCGTGGAAACCAAAAGCATACTCATGTAATACGCGAGAGTTGTCAACGTTTTAAAAACAGATTCGATCGATCAAATGTATTGTATTGTAAATTTATACGTAGTTGCTGCATATGGCTCAAGTATTTATGCAAACTTTAGAAAAGGTAAGAAATTTGTTCTTCATTGTAGCTTCGTCCATCCGTGAAAGCGAAGAAAATTTCGATTATGATTTGCACTCAAGTGAAAAACTACGTTATTTTGATTTCACAACTCACCTTCAGTCGACTTGCGACGACAAATTCCTCAGTTCTGTGTTTTATTGGTTCCAACAACGGAGGAATATATATTTTCGTGTTTATATGTACCATGAAATACCTAAATTTTAAGCTCAGACAAGAAAATACATTCATCCTTTCTGAGAAAATGTGTGTCGTAATTGTTCAGGATTCCAAGAATTTATCACATATTATTTAATATTTATTTCAAAGTGGACCCGTCACGCGAGTGAAAAGTGTTATTGTGTGTTAGGTCATGAAAGCCATTCAAACACAGTGAGACTGGGTATGTTTCTGTCTTTCCCCATATATTCCAACTTGAGAGCAAAAAGGTGCCGCAATTATTTTTTGCCCTTGGGAAAAAGTTTTTGATTGATTCCTTGTTCTGGAACTCGAAGTTAATTACTCAGCGTATCACGAACATGTTTGCACATTTGCATATATCCACATGTAACTCGGGATATCTTGTTAAGTTTGTTGATACCAGTCGGTTTCTAAGAAATAGACAGAAAACTCACCAAGTTTAGGCATGGGATTTTAAAACATAACTAACACACTAATAGAAAAAATAACCTCAATGCTTTAGCTTAGAGAGGTTCAGAAAGATTCTCGAATTGCATTTCACAAGACTGTTGTTATAAGTTAGACGAGTGGCATAGATCGCGATCGATGTCATTCGACAGGTTTTTTTGAGAAATGCCTTTGCCATCCAATTAAGATATCACTCGCTGAGGATAATTGAGTCCTCTTAGCATTGAAAGATAATATTGAAAACAATTTCCTGGTGTTTTTTAGATAACTTGCCCACGAGTTAGGAGCGCATGATTCTATTTATCAATCATTCTTCAAAAAAAAAAAAAAACATTCAAACTACTGTTTACTTACATGCCATTGCTCGCAGTTTATTTATCTGGGAGTCTCCTATGTAATGCAAAAGTTTCATTCCAGGAAATTTGGTGCTAAAACACCTAAGTTATTACAAATCTTCAATAATGTTGATCCAGTATAAATAAATTGTAATAGGCATTTTAATCACAGATTCCTAGCTGAAAATCGAGAGTTGCAAAGAATATGTATGAACCAGAATACTACAGCGTAGGTCTTATTCAAAGCTCTGTTCCATCTGGCAGGAATTAACCGTTTTGAAGAAAGAGAGCCAAAATGGTGGATAACGGAGATTCTGTAAAGGGGTCCGTTCAAGATTCGCTTGATGATAAAAAGACGTTACCAACCCCTTTTCAAGAGACTGGTAATCGACAAGTTTCAGAGCTAGCCCCTCATCGTCAACCACGGGGAATTGAAGCTGAAAATCCATCAGCAACAAAAAAGCTGGCCGAAGTAATAGCAGCCCTGCTTGTACTTATGTTTAACTTGCCGGGGGGATCCTTCGCCATTGTTCTGAGTACAGCGCGTACAGTGGTTCAATATATGCAAATACCACCCGTAGACATTGAACGACGAGACAAAATGAAACGTGACGTAGAAGAAATTCAACTTAATATGAAGCAAATATGCAATGACGAGACCAAACTGGAGGACAAGGTAAATTTGCACTTTCAAGATACTCACAGCGTCATTTTACTTAACTTAGATAACGATCAGTAAGTATTTGCATTTCATCCATATTTTGTTCAGAGTGTTCTCGCTTTAAATCATACAGAAGATGCTTAATCAAGAGCAGATCCTAGGATATGTATGCTGTAGAGCTGTTTATCATAAACATTTCGAAATTCCCAGCAAAAAAAAACCAAACGACATCACAAACTTCAGGCGCCAGAGCAGGAATAAACCTCAAAAGTGTTGACACAACAGCTACAACAGCCATGAATGTTACTGATTCCTCCCACCCCATGATTTTCATGTACTATTATTACTATCAACACCCCTTCTATCATCAGTACCATTACATGGCAACCAAAGCCAACTTTAATAATTAACTGCCAACATCAGCAAAACTAACTCGTAAACCGCCACATCGAAAGCGCAATCGAGCGTTGCCACTTGTAACAATAAAACCCTGCGCTGGAGATTTCTATTGCGTGATAGTTGATAGTGGAAAAGCCCGAAAAAACTATCAAGCATAGAAATCGAGAGCGGTTATCCAAATGTTTTGGTAGAAAGGTACACTTCTTTCAAAAGTTAACAAGTCAGGCTAATATTTTATATAATTTTGTTTACCACCACACACTGTTAGGCTACCCATCGTACTCGCTCTCTATCACGGAATAGATGGCGAGTAGCGTAACCAATCAGATTGTAACAATTAAACTAAAGGAATAGCAAAGTTACCGAGGACTAAGAGTAAATTTCAAGTGTCAATCATTTTGCAGTTTGGCAACTTCCCTTACCATTCAACCGTCGACTTGATAAAGTGGGAATGGGATTTGAGAATCCTAAGGGGTCGTTTAGCC